CNGGGGGGGGGGGGGGGGGGGGGGGGGGGGGGGGGGGGGGGGGGGGGGGGGGGGGGGGGGGGGGGGGGGGGGGGGGGGGGGTGGGGGGGGTGGGGGGCGGGGGGAAATACCAAAAGCCTTCTGGGGTCCCAGGAAGAATGGATTGGCCCGGAAAACTGGTCCCTTTGGGAGATAATAAAGACGAGCAGAAGATCTAAGTAGCTGGGATAAAGAACAAAGATGCAAATTTAAAAAATATTTAAATGGTAGAAAGCAATAGGATTTTGTGGCCAGCTGGCTACACATTCCAACACCACATAAAAATAGTCCGGGGATTTGCTACTTAAGGAAAAGTTTATTAGCTCCTTTAAAAAAATCACTCATGTCATTTCATTCTTGTATGACTGTGGCCAGAGTAAATTTAGACTTGACTAGACTCTGCTCTCACTACCCCGAGAAACCTTTAGAGTCAAGACATCACACAGGTTCATGACTCAGTAATGAAGGCTGCACTAAACTCCAAAGTCTGTGCGCTCTCCCAGAAACCAGGACCTCACCAGAGTTTACTCTCAAGCCATGCTTTCAGCATAAACGATCCTGTACCAAAGAACACACACCCTTGTCCAATCTGTTCCAAATCTCTGGGAAGTTACAGCGAATGTAAGGCCTCAAATGCCCGGAAGTTGTCAGCATTCTAAGGTTTCTATACAGCATACTCTTTTTCTTTTTCAGATGAAAATTTTCCAAAGAGTGTAAAAAGACATCGCTTCTACTCGCCTGATGACAGTGGTCAGTGCAGGGAGCTACAAGTAAGACAGTTGGGAGAACAGAAGAAAAGGTAAGAAACGGGACACTGTTTATTAAAACTTGCCACCTATAAAATGCCAGGAAGCACACACTTAACATAGGCCTAAGGATGGCAGGAAGCAGGACTCCCTCCTAGAGAAGCGTGGGACTCCGAGGGATGTAGAGGAGGACCAAGGGCTCTCCTAACGATCATGTGTGAAGTTCGGAAGTGCCAAACTTGCTCCTTATGAAACCTCTATGATGAAGCCATGGAGCCAGAGGACTCTTTATGGATGGAGGGAGGTCATCTGACTATAGGGGGACAATAGCTGACGTGAACAGGTCATGAACAGAACCTGAGCGTTCAGTTTCCACTTTCAAGAGTCTTAAACTAAGAGCACATGAGGAACTGGGTCATAGTAAAACCCGGAAACCAGTTTCGGTAAAATGAAAACCTGATCAAGTGGTGCGCCAGCCATGTCTCCCCCTCCCCTCCACTAATCAAATCATCATCAGATAGAACTCATTGACTTTTTGTGGGTTTTGTTGTTGTTGTTTTGTTTTTTGTTTTTAGGATGTCAGTTTAGGGCTTTCATTTTATCTCTTTCCAAATCACACAGGGCCATAGTTTTAAGAACAACAAGCTTTCTCCCTTAAAGGTATGACATCAAGACATGAGAACTGACCTAAAACCTAACCACCACTTAGCATTCTCTTTAATGGGCAGTCTTTATAGGCATGCTCAGTAGAACCAGAAGACTAGAAAAATTAACTTGTAATCTTGATCAGTGGTAGACAACCCACCAGAATTCTGGCGGCATTATACTCGGGACAAGAAGCAACAGCTACGCTCAGTACAGCCCAAGGGGAGAGCAAAGGGAATGAGAGGCCGCGGCATCATCTGAATGAAAGGCTCGGAGGACACTCACACAGGAACAGAGGGGGCTGTAAAGGCCTCGTGCACTCAAAACCGAAGGCTCTCCAGTCAATCCTTCCACACTGGTCTGTGGTCATGGCTGCAACTGCGGCTGTCCTGAGAATCACAGATTTCCTTCTTCACTGGGGAGCTTGACTCTCCCACTAGCTAACATCACGGTTTCTGCCTAGCAGAAGAAAACTGAGGCAGAATGGCCCCACATCCACTGCATCCAACCTCCTTTCTTCTCACAAGGCTGAGCACGCTCTGCAGCCATCTTGGTTTGAACAGAAGGCAAGATCCCCCACTCCACACTTCTGCCTAGAAGACACTGTTGGGAAATGAATATACAGGAGGAGCAACGGACTCTTCTCCTGGCCTGTGAACTCTCTGGTTGCTGGGAGGCTGGGCACTCTTAGGATTATCAAACTTTAGGTTTGACAGCTGAAAAGAGGCATAGGAAGAAACCATGGTCTGCACAACCAAAAGGTTCACAGGTTTCTGTCCAACCATCCCCCTGTAAGACCTGATCAGCCTCAGGTGTGTCTGGCCTGACCTTATAAGACTAAATTTTTTTCCTGAAGGGAGCAGGGGGGGGGGGGAATCAAGGCCAAAGGTCAAGCCCACTGCTGTAAATCACATTCCACATTGGTAATTCACTTATTACCGATTAGAAATGGTGCTGTCTCATAAAACTTATCATAAAGGCCTACAACTTCTCTCGAAGCGCCTACCACATGCTAGAGATCCGGGACAGCTGTCAGTGCGTACCTGTAAAACCGTCCTGGGATTTCTCATTTCTCAAAGATTTTTTTTAAGTTATTTTCCTTAATTTTCATATTTTCTGGGGGCATTTCTAAAAGGTCTCAAAACCGAAGCTGCTCTAGACTATGTAGCACAGTTTTGAAGAGGCTGATCTCTGAAGCCAAGTAACTTACCTACACGGCAAGCTCTCCCTGACTAAAATGGAGCGTGGTAACGGGAACGAGTGGAGCCGGCAGCTGGGCGGACAGAACCAGCTGTCAAACCTTCACGTTTCTAGGCTGCCTCTCATTTCCCGTCATGCTACGAGACATGAAACAACGCTCCAGCTCGCACCTAGAACAACCAACTTGTTATGGCAGATTCCATTCACGCCTTGCTGGAGGAAGAGCTTCCGCCAATGATCTCCACGGGTTTCACACAGCATCAGCTACCACCACCTCCCGTGGTGCTGAAAGGAGGCAAATTTGGGGAGGGATATAACAAAGAGGGTTGCCCTCCAGAGTCACCCCAACCAAAAGGAGAAAGGGTCCACCGCCCTCTCAATGTTTTCATTGTAAGCATTTGCCTTGGGATTCACTATTTCCTTCTATGAACCCTAGACCCGCTTTTCATTCCAGGTACTAGCAGACATCCTGGGCAAGGCCCATGCTCTCTCCAACCCTGGATCCTCACAAGAATCTAGCAAGACACTGGCCTTCAGGAATACTCCACCAAATGACACCGCCCTCTCCTTGGAAATGCTCTGATCTCAACAGTAACCTGACATTGAGTCTGGCCAGAACACCGCCAGTTTGGATCAGGTTATTCCAGGAAAGCCATCTGACCATCTGCAGGTCGCACACGGAACGAAATGAGAGAATCACGTCAAATTGGAAGACTCTTCCTCATGCCTTCGAAATTGTCTCGCAGCACTGGCCATCACAGAGTTCTTTTGCAAACGTGATCACGAGGAAGCAATGATGAGGCAGATAAAAATAGACTCCCCGGGAATGTGCCTGACATTATTACACAAAGTCTTGCAGGTTTGTTGGAGAACTCATAGCACCTGCCCTCCAACCGCTCTGTCAATTCTGATTTCTTGGGGGGGCGGGGAACAAGAAAGAGGGGTGTGCTGAGGATGCAATGGAAGCATCCAAACCTTAGCGGGAGAAGCCTAGGATTAGCCTAACACCCAGTGTGGACACAAGGTCGACGTACAGGGTATAGAGCTGCCTCTAGGTGTACAGTACATTCACTGTCCTGATAGTAAAGAATGGAGCAACCACAGCCACGACTTAGATTACTTAAGCGTAAACTGTGGTTGTCACTTCCTTTCCAAAAATGGTTTTTCATGAAAGAGAAAATACAGGGAGTGTGATCGCCAAAATAGCACGCAACATCCCTTATGTTTGCCCGATTTTGCAATAAAAAGGATAGTTACATGGATTGAGGCTTTTCCGCGAATGGAGACATGGTCATGGGACATATTTGAAGTGCGAGATACTGACCCCAATTTAAAAGGATTTGCTACTTAAGAAGAAAGTAACGCTAGACTGTAAGTACCAACCACAGGCTTAGAACAATCTCCCCAGTTAAGACAGGGCTTAGGGCATCTTGGTACAGGGACTTAGCAATAGAATTCGGTCTCCATGCTTCCTTTACATTGCATTTAAAAGCAAATTAATTTTTTTTCCAGAATGAAAACATTGGTATCTTCCCACCTCTTTGCATACAAGTAAGGAACGCAAACCACAAGGTTCCCAGGCTTTTCTCCCTTCAGCATCTCAAGTACAGTATCCCTGGGTTCCCAAGCCACAAAGCAAAGCCAGCGAATGGAATTCATGGAGAAACTGCTCATTCTAGGAGGCTCAGAACACTCGCTGCATTTTCACAGGAAACCTGTTTTGAAGCCTTCACTTCTGTGAACCATTGTGTTTGTCCTTCCCATTCGGCATGCAAAACACGATACAGCCTCCATTGCATCCACAGCACTGATGCAACCTACGCTTAGTCCACCCACAATCCTTGAGTATTCCGTATGCAAACACACCACAACCCCCGCCCCAAGCATTCAAGGAGCCCCAGCAGAGTCCCTGTGTGCAAATTGAACCAGCCTCAGATGGGCATGGGCAGAACCTCGAATCATCTAGAACGGTGCATGGAACCTGTTTCTTTTTAAGGGGCGGGAGGGGAGGGGGGGGTGTTGTCTGTTTAAATACCCTCTAAGGTAACTGGCCATAATGCAGGCACGGGCGAAGCTGGCACTGCGGGCAACCCTAGACGCAGGCTCTCCTTTCACAAAGCTCAGGGAGGCTGCAGTCCTCATATCTCCCGGCAGACCAGATGCTCGGCTCGATCCCCCTCCCCGATTTTACCTAACTAATAGCTCTCCAACCCCATATTGAGAGGGCCTGCTGTGGATCTCGCAGAGGTACAAAATGGTGGATGGGAGCTAATTTTCCCCTGCTCTCCCCATAACTCAGCACATCCATCACAGCAGGTCCTCTACCCACCAAACCCCCAAACTAGCCGCGGCGCACCAAACACGGCCAGCGGCTGAACAGTGGTTACCAACCTGATGTCATGTAGCCCCGAGAAGCCTGGGGCGCGAAGGCCGCGGGGAAGCGCTTGTGCAGGCGGTAGTCCTTCTCGCTGCGGGACCTCATGCGGTCCGAGGCCCGGTCCGAGAAATCCGAGCTAGGCCAGGCTCGCCGCAAGGTTGTGCTCCGGGTCTTCTTCATGGTGGGCAAGAGCGACCCTGGTGCCCCGATAGTGGGGCCTCAGCGCCGGGGCGCAGCGCGCTGCTTCATCCGTCTACCGCGGCCACGACCCGGGAGGATTCTGCGCGCATTTTTTTTTCCCCAGCCCCTCTTCTCGTTGGTGTCTACACCGCCAGAGGCAGGTCCGGCCCTCCCCACGCCCCCCCACACCCCCACGGCAAAGGCTCCGATTTTACACTCGTCCCACAATGCATTCCACTTCATTTGCAATCCTCCCGGCTTCCAGCTTCCAGATTCCTGGGGGGGAAGGCACGTTGGGAGGCTCGGCTGCCGAGAGGGGGCGGCCGGGGTGGGGGCGCCGAGACTTGCAGCGTGGAAGCTATGGGAGCGCAGACAATGGCCCGATTCAGCGCAGGAGTGCTTAGCCAACTGTGCGCCACAGCACAAAAGACCCAAACAAATGAGGAAGCCGAGGCCTCCGGGGGCCGACCCGGGAACGCTCGCCCGAGAAGCTTGACCAGGCGGCTGCAGCCTCAACCGTACAGGGAGGCTTCAGCGCGAGGCGGCGTGGGGATGACAGCGTCCAAGACGCGTCACCCCGGACCTCCCAGCCGCGAGGCCCGCAGTCCCCGGCGCTGCCTGCCTCTGCTTCTCCCGCAGTCCTCGGGAGGCAGTCTTCATTCCAGAGGCTCGAACGGGGGGCGCGCGGGAGCACCGGGACCGCCGCTGCGACAACGCAGGAAGAGCCCAATGGGTGCTGACGACCGCGGCGCCGCGTCAGGCTTCCTCCTTCCAAGGCTGGCGGGGGTGCGGGAGGTTGGGGGCGCGTGCCGACACGCGTGGATCCCCCGCCGCAGGCATACTCCTACTCACGGGCCGCGGTGGCTGCGGAGCCCGGCGATCGGCCCGCGCGCGGGGCCATCGCCGCCCGGTGACTAGCGCGCTGCGCGCTGGCACGGCAGGAAGCGGGACGGCCACCCAGTGTCATGCTAATCTCGGGGTTGAGCAGAGGCTCAGCGGGGATCCCGGCAGCAAAGCCCCAGCGGCGGCGGCGGCGGCGGCGGCGGCGGCGACGACGACGACGACGACGACAACGCGGGGCCTGGGCCCTGCCGATGACACCGCGCGGATCGTTCCACGTCTTTCCGATGGTCCCTCCCCCTCGCTCCGAGGGCTAGCCTTCGTGGGAACGCGCCGATCCGCGGCGCCCGGCCCGGCCCACCTGCGCCCAGCCGGAGCCACGGGGCGCCGCGAACGCGCGGGGACGCCAGGCCCACGCTGCCTGCCACGCGCCAACGGCCTGTTCCCTCCGCGATCCTGAGTGGCAGTCACTCCCCGGTGGCCTGGTTGCGCTGGCGGACCCGGGGCCTCCGCACCGCCCGGCCCTGCACAGCTGTTTATGGTCCAAGCACCAATCGCTGCAGGACAGCGGTGCGCGCGGAGGAGGGGGCGCGGGCCAGACGCGAGGTCACGCCGAGTTAAAGGCGCCCGGCCTGGCCGCCAGCCTCGCCACGCGCCGCCACTCCCATTCTCATCCGCCACGCTCACCTCCCCACTTGGGTTGCCAAAAATGCGTTTTGAGCTATAAACAACGATAATAAAGCTGATTGCCTCTCGAAGAGATCTGTCATTTGGCGTTTGAGCATTTTTTTTTTTAGTGCATCTGTGACAAGGAGACGTTTCCAATCATTTTAAAGGTGGTATTCCACGCTGATGGGTGACAAGATGAGATGCAGAGAGCAAGAGGAAGCCTTCATGGGAACTCAGCAGTCGGAGGGCTCTAAAGGGTTAAGATTCAGAAAGCCCTGGCAAGACTTCCAGGAGGCAGAAAGGCAATGAGATCTAGTCTGTCTGTCTGTCTGTCTGTCTGTCTGTCTATCTATCTATCTATCGCCAGTATCTCTTGTCAGAAAAAAAAAATCTCTCTGCGGATACTAAGGGGCGGGGATAAAAAGCCACAAGTCACATATAAAACGCATAACTACATCAAGCAATATTAATTACTAAGTAGAAACCTATTAGCCAATGTTCAGCAGCCTCTTTATAAATCAAGACAATCCCTCAAAAGGTGCCTTTTGCTAAAATGCAAAAATCAGAAAAACTACTGGCTTAGAAGGTCTAAAGGGCCATGGAGGTGGGTTTTTTTTAATGTTTTCATAAATGCGAGTTATGACATTTAGATATCTCAAATCAACAATTACTAGTACCTCTCATGAAGCCAGAGTGGTTACACTAATTACCGTAACAATTATGAGTTAAGAGTGATGGCAATCCTGTGACAACTGTGAGAGTCACTAACTGAGCAGATCGCTTGTGTAAAATACCACATATGGCTCCCTGCAATGAATGGTCTAGTGGGAAAAAAAAATTCAGAAAGCTCCATAAAAGCCAAAACTCTGTGCCACATTTTGTGAAGATGCAGAACCTCCATGCCTCCATGGGACATGGCAGGAGCTGAGGTCTATAGCATGAAGAACTCCTCAAGCAGGGAAGGAGACGGTGTTTGGGGCCATGGAAACAGCCGTGCAAAGGCCCTGGGGTAGCAAAGAATCTTGGTTTCTGTTGGAAGAAATGCAAGAAGGCCAGTGTGGCTGGGATCAGAGCTGAGCAAGAAAGTCGTGGGCGATGAGGTCATGGAGGAAGGGAGAGTAGCTCATGCAGGGACTTGTCGGCCATGTTCAAGGTTTTACATTCTACTCCTGGTGGACTGGGAGCCACAGACGGGCTCAAAGCAAAATTCAGTCATAATTTTAGAAGTTCTGTGTAGAAGGAGCTAGAGGGTGGAATAGGAAGCGGGGACTGGTTGGGAATTTGTGGGAAGTTAAGTTTGAATTACAGGTCGTTTGTGGGGAAAACGGGGTGTTCATGTTCGCACCCTGAAACAGTGAGTGGACCTGCGCATGTCTGAAGAGAGGAGCCATAACAGGTCTCGGTTTCCTGTGACAACAAACCTTGCAGAGAAGTGAGAGCCTGCAGAAGCCAAGCAGCCAGACTCGTAAGAACCAGGCAGTCAATACGTCAGGCATTGATGATGCCTGAAGCAGGGATGATGGGCCCCACTCAGTAACTGACTCACCCACATTGGCTAACAACGTGCAATGGTCATCCGAAGAGAAGGGATGGGTACGCCCACTGTGAAAGTCAAGTTCAGCTTGTCCGTCTGTGCTTGTACATGATGACCCCTGGATCCCTAGCCACAGTTCCTAGTCCCCTAGCTCTCCTGAGACAACAGCGTCTCTTAGGCATCCACCAAGGCAGCCCATCTTTGGGAATATCCCCAATATTCAACCTGGGAGTTCACAAACATAATCGAATTGCCAGAGAGATAGCTGAGCTCCAAGCCTGAGGATATGAGTTACACAACCACAACCCGTGTAAAAAGAAGCCAGGCGTGGTGGCAACACACCTGTAAATCCAGTGCTGGAGGGGTGGCGACAAAAGGATCCCCGTGGCTCACTGGCCAGACAGTCTATCACAATCAGAGATGTCCTGGCCATTGACGGACACTGTCTCAAGAAAACACCAGTGGATGGAACCTGAGGAACACCTGAAGTGAGCCGCTGGCCTCCACCCACAGATGTAAAATTCTACCGTGTGGGTAAGCTGCATTTTGTTTGTGCATTGATGGAAATGAGGTGCTTTCACGTTTTAACTTTGATGACTAAAACTGTTAAGCTCGCCAGTCTCTCTCTCTCATGCCTCCTATTCTGTTCCTTAGGGAGCATATTCAGAGGTGGAATTACTGGATCCTATTTTAATCCTGGTTTTTAATTTTTCTGAGGTATTGCCATACTCTTTTCCACAGTGATTATACAGTTATTCATTTCTGCCAAGCATACACAGGGTCTCAAATATCTCTGCGCTATTGGCGCACTTCCCTCTCTCCTCTTGCCCACCTCTCTTCTCCCCTCCCTCCCTCTTCCTTCCTTTGGCTTATAGCCTACCTAGGGGTTTTAAGGGGCACCTTATAATAATTTTGACTTGTTTATCTCTGATGATTAGTGATGCTGAGGATTTTATGTGCTTTTCTTCTTTTTTTGTTTGTGAGCCTGGTCTTCAATGGCCGAGTCATCTCTCCAGTCCAGCGCTTCGTTCAAGCTTTAGGATTAGGTTATTTGCTCTGTGTGTGTGTGTGTGTGTGTGTGTGTGTGCGCGCGCGCGCGCGTAGTAAAATTACCCCACTAGAGGAGATAATGCTCTCTTCAAGATCTATAGCCTAGCTCGCAAAAACCCTAGTACCAAGCATGAGAAATCTCCCTTTGAGATCTTGGTCAGGGGAATTCAAAGAACTCCTAAAATGATACAGGCTATTGCTATTGCCCTTGGTTCCCTCCCAGGACCTGAAGGTAAGACCCTGTAGTGAAGATACAACGTGCTTCAGACACAGCACTTGGAAGAGTTGAACTGAATATGAGCTAGAAGCCTCTTCCCTGAGCACTTTAGCAAAGTGCTAAAGGAGATAAGTAATCATTTGTCCTGCCCAGCTGTGACTCCTGCCAACAACAATTACCAAAAGAGCAAGATATGCCCAAAGATGCTAGAACGGCAGTTCTCATTGGGAGCCAACCAACAGCTGTCTAACTGGACTTAAGGCTCACTCAGTAGGACGGAAACCATGCCTCGTACTGTAAATCCAGACAACTACCCATGACTCACGGGTGAGGCCCTAGAACCCAAAGGAGAACATATGGTTGCCTCTTCCTTAAGCCACTATAACCCCTCACTGCATTCCAGTTATCCTTATGCCCAGAAGAGAATGTAAAATTGCACCCTTTGTCAGAGAATACTCTCTTTGCAGCAGATGGAGCCCACTGCAGAAAACCACAACTGATGAAATGCAGAGGACAAGTGATTATGGGGGTACCCAGCCCCACTGGAGAACATCGCAGAAGAGAAGCCGGAAAGACTGCAAGAACAAAGAAACAGGACATTGAGAGACTTACGTCTTCTATATATGAAAGGGGAATTATACTCATGAAATCTCAACTATAGCAATGCCTAAACAAGACCTGAATAATTACAGTGCCCCTGACGTCATCCCAACATGGAAGACCCGCCGCTAAAGAAAGAGCCATAGACAATTAGTGGCTGATGAGGGAAGAAGATGATCAGTCCTCCCCAGGGAGGAGTTCCCTAATTAGCTATTCAATACCAGGTGGTCAGCCCTAAACACATACACATAAGAGCAACACTGAATAGACTCAGTAGGCTATATTTATATGTATCGTATTACTTATATTACATGTTTTATATATTATATACTATACATATATGTATTTTATGATTTATATTAACTGATAAGTACCTGTAATGGTAATAATTAACAACAAAAAAAGAAGCCATAAATTGAGAGGGGGAAGACACAGAAAGTACTGAAGGGAGGGGAGATTATATGAAATTGAGTAAATATAATAATAATAATATATCCTAATTAAATATACCAACTTTAAAAGTACAAATCAAGTTAAGAAAGGGTATTTACCTATGTCCTTACATGAGCCTAACTATTCTATAAAGGAAATTTAGACTCCAGTTTAACCTGATTGTTTACATCCATAGTATCACTTCTCTTTCAATGTTATTGCCAAAATATTAACCAAATGCTACAATGAAAAACCAAAAAGGAGCCACCATCTTAGGGCAGCAGGCAGTATATCAGACTCATGAACACTAAAAGCGCCTTTTATTTTAAATTTTAATACACTGTTACTTAATACACCAATATTTTTAAAATCTGAATTAAGTCCAAATTTTCATTATTAGATTTTTTTAAGACCCAAATCAAGCTTTTCTCCACATCCATGATCAAATTCCACCTGCACATTTGCATGCGGGGCCACATGTGACTTCTGTGGATCCAATCAGGTCCTTAAAGACAGAAGGAAGTATGCATTGCCCTATGGTGTGTGACCTCTGACCTGAAGAGTTCTCTACATGCGCCCAAAACTTCACTCCTCGTCCAGCTCTTGCCTTCTTTAGGAACTGTAGACGCACAGCTGTTTGGGGTACAAGATGGAACCTCCATATTGCCCCACCACAAGCTTCAGAGAAGACGTTGGTATCCGTGTACCGGGAGCCTAGCACAGAAACTAACCAAACAGAGAGAGCTGACAAAGGAGGTGGCATCTATGACACCATGTAGCAGCTCCAGGCTGTCACCCTGCAAGGTGTGTCTAGCATTTGAACAAATTCACAGCAAGGTGAGGCCCAACACAGGGGCACGGGAGCCTAGCCAGGAGTCAGCCAGCCACTGCATCCTCTCAAAGGCCATTCGAGCTATGGAAACACCAGATGCATCCCACATCGTGGGTCCCGAGACAACCTCGCCCCAGATTCTCACTAACAAAACATCTCCAGGACTCCTAAAGTGTGTTCTTGAGCACTGAGTTCACTGTGCTGGTCCCCAGTCCCCAACCCTTTGAATCTGTCATCACCTTCCTCAGAGAGAGGCCAAGTGTTCCAGAGGCTAAAATAGAGACTTCAGGAGGAAGCTGACTATTCTCTCTCTCTCTCTCTCTCTCTCTCTCTCTCTCTCTCTCTCTCTCTCTCTCTCTCTCTGTGTGTGTGTGTGTGTGTGTGTCTGG